CTGGCTGCTGGCTACACACAGTAGCCCATGGCAACCCACTGCCACAGGGGCTGCAGCCTACGCCGTCGCCGGCGACTCACGGCAGCCCAGGCCCAGGTTGAGCTGTTGTTCAGCATCTTAGCTGTAGACGGCAGTGTAACTGGCCCTCATATGTGGGATCTGAACCGGGGCCCTCTGGCATCCCAAGCCAGTTCTTAACCACCGTGCCACTCGGCTGGCCCTACACAGAGTCTTTTTAGGGCTGTTTGTTACTGCAGAGTAACCTAGCTTATGCTGACTGATAAGAAATATAATCAAAGACATTTCATTCACAATAGTAGGAAACAGGACACAGAAACTCCCTGGAGATAACACTACCAGCAGCGGAAACAGAATGCCACAAAGCCTGCTGCCTAATTCGTGTGGGCTGTAAATGGCTGTGAAGCTGCAAATGCTCGTCCTTAAGAAGATTAGAGGTTGTTGACGCAGGCACTTGAGGCGGAAAGGCCCGGGCTTGGCCAGCATATATGTCAGATAAAGACAAAAAGTGGGGTGTTTACAAGAGATTTACCTCGAGGACAGTGAGGCTTGAAACCTCAGTCCCCTCAGGGATCAAGGGCATCTCTGGTTTAAGCTGCGTCTGTATTCTGTTATCATAAGTGTCCTGGCTCATTGGTTCTAGAGCAGCGGTTCTCCGCCTTCCTAATGCCGTGACCCCTTAATACAGTTCCTCATGTTGTGGTGACCCCCCAACCATAAAATGATTTTCGCTGCTACTCTATAACTCTAATTTTGCTACTGTTATGACTCGTAATGTAAATATCTTTTTGTTTTCCGATGGTCTTAGGCGACCCCTGTGAAAGGGTCGTTCGACCCCCAAAGGGGTCGCAACCCACAGGTTGAGAACCGCTGTTTTAGAGGATTTTTCTTGAACTATCCTGACTGCATCCTTGTTGCTGTCTCCTGGGAAATGAGTAACCTTTATTCTCTAGTTTGGGCTCCCTGTTGTTTGTCATGGAGACGGTCTGTTCCCCATTCTGACGTTTCCCACCGTGTCTATAACATCACCCACACACAAGACACTTGGGTTCAGTGGCTTCAATCTGTACCCCCACCTTTGGGGTGGCTGTAATATAGCTTTTTACCCCAAAGACTTTTTCCCCCCCATGTAAGAAATGTGTAGACTCAGTGTGGTCAGAATGCAGACATTTACAATGTTTCACTGATATATTGGGCTGTCAGAAAAGTCATGATGCGTTTTTGCAATGAAAAACATAGAAAAATACGTCATGACTTTTCCGACAACCCAATATTAAAACAATAAATGAGGAGACAGAGCACACTCAGTGGGAACACTAAAGAGTTAGCTCACGGAGAAGAATCCAGTCCATCTGGATTCATCTGGAATCCAGTCACAGTAGTTTTCTTTTGGAGGGAAGGGGGATTTGACAACCGTGCCGAAGGTCATTCAGGAGAATAAGGGAGAAGAAGAGCTAACATGTCTTTGATGACACAGGAGCAAAGAGCAGAAACTGGCAGAAGCTGCCACCTGCACGGGTGCACAGAAATGCTGAGGGCCGAGTGGACCCATGTGCTGGTGGCGCTCCCCTCACACACTGCGGCTCACATGTTCCCCCTCCCCGTGGTCCACAAGCCCACCAAGCTCCACGCTGGACTCCCACCTGGACGTGCCCTCACCAGGCAGCTCTCGGGCTCCCCAGTGGCCTGTTCTTCCCCCTGAACAGCACCCCTCCACAACCGGTCCAAATTCTCATTCCCCCAGGGCTATCTTAGCAACGGACCAAACCGGAAAGTCTATTTGCATTTTTTAAAAAAGCTTCTGGTTCTCTTAGTTCTGTCACGATGGAGTAGCCTGTTCTCCCAGATATCCACCTCTTTCAACTTAAAAAAATCCTGGATATACCACAATTCACAAGACAACAAAAAAGAATCACTCACATATTATGTTAAGGGAATACCTAAGACTGTTGTATTTCTAAAGGGGCAGAGGAGAGGGCAAAAGGACCTAAATGGAAGTAGGGTTTTTATACTCCCCTCAAAGGAGTAAAATGTTGATACCAGTAGACTGATAAATTACCTGAGAATACTATAATACACAAAGCACCCACTAAGGAAACTAGAGAAAGCAATATGCTCAACACCATTATAAATAAATCAGCATAGATCCCAAAATGCCCAAATAGAAGAAAAGCAAAGCACAGGGAAGAGAAACAGAGGAAACAAACAGAAAACAAAAAAACAAAAGCGCAAACGTAAGCCCTAACATGTCGGTCAGTATCTTAAATGTAAAGAGTCTAAATAACCAATTAAAAGACAGAGGTTGGCAGAGTGGATGAAGAAACATCACCCAGAGCTATGCCATCTCCCAGAGACCCACTTCAAATATAACGGCCCAGGTAGGCTGAAAGTAAATAAAGGAAAAAGATATGCCGTGGCAAACACCCATCAAGAATATTGACAAAAAAGCAGAAGTTCCGCAAGGTTACAAGATACAAAATCAACACAAACAAATCCGTATTTGTAGATGCCAAAATATACATGTGGAAACCAAAACTGAAAACACAATACCATTCACAATCACGTCAAGAAAAAAAGAAACTAATATAAAATAATATTGAATGTAAACTATAATCTACATCTATCTATATGTGTGTGTGTGTGTGTATATATATATATATATGTATGTATTTTTTAAAAAAAAAGAAAAAAGAAATATTTAGGTA